TGAATAACGAAACCGCTGCTAGCACGTTATTCGTTATTCGAAAGACGAATAACAAAACACGAACCTTCTGCAAATACGGTATGACATATTTGTTATCTCATATTTGATAGAATGGATAGGCATACATTGAATAACGTACCCAGTGCTGGTTAGTTTTTCGTTATTCAGAGGTTCTGAATAATAAACACCTCATGCACATTTGGTACACCTGTGAATGGATCCCACAATCTTTTATTACACGAGTTTCATTGTATATGACAGCTCTACTATAGCTATTCCATGTTGAGCGTTTGAATAACGAACCCGCTGCTAGCACGTTATTCGTTATTCGAAAGACGAATAACGAAACACGAACCCTCTGCAAATACGGTAGACTGTATTTGTCTTACATTTGATAGAATGGATGGGCATACATTGAATAACAAACCCAGTGCTGGTTAGTTTTTCGTTATTCAGAGGTTCTGAATAATAAACACCTCATGCACATTTGGTACACCTGTGAATGGATCCCATAATCTTTATTGCATGGGTTTCATTGTATATGACATCACTACTATTAACTATAGATATTCCGTGTAGAGCGTTTGAATAACGAACCCGCTGCGAGCAGGTTATTCGTTATTCGAAAGACGAATAACGAAACACGAACCCGCTGCTAACTTCAGGCTGCTCGGTGTTCCAGCAAAGGTCATAACTCAGCGTGGACTCACTGTCAACTACATCAATTATGTGTAATTATTACTGAACGTCAATAATGAGGGCGAATGTTGCTACTAGAGACCATTTGGGTAAAGTGAGCTTTCATTTTACGCCGCGTTTTGCAATAGTCCAGCAATATCACGCAGAAATGGGCTTCACCCATTGTACCCACCTAGGGTCTTCGGTGTGACGAGCGGACGCTTTAACCACTTCACCCCGCTAAACGCTGGAATTAACAAGAGCAACAAAACATTAAAATGCATCAAAACCATTTCAATAGTCCAAAAATTATCGTGACCCTTGTACGATCCCGGCAAGATGGTTTTATCAGTCAGTCAAAGATCAGCGTATCACAAACACAAGGCAAGTCAACTGTTCGTCCACGAAAACAGGGGAATATATGGAGCAAGTCAACGTAATCCCAAAATAAGGAGGTTGATCCTGGTATTTCACTCAGGTACAGTAATAGGAACATTTAACTGTATACCACGAAATGTTAAGAATAAATATTGAAGGTTCTATTCAGTTATTGCTGAGAGTACAACAATCTGTCAAGAGAGTCTTTAGGATACGCGGTTGAAACCGTGCTTTACCATCAGGATTCAGGGACTGTGGTGAAGCCTTGTGGTTAAAGCGTTCGCTCGTCACGCCGAAGGCCCGGGTTCGATTCCCCACGTGGGTACAATGTGTGAAGCCCATTTTCGGTGTCCCCCGCTGGAACATTGCTAAAAACAGCGGTGAAACCTCACTCACTCACTCACTCACTCACTCACTCACTCACTCACTCACTCACTAATCCTGTCAATAAAACATCTAATCACTCTATTTTGGTGCTGCAACCTGATACACCACTGGGAAGTGCACTGAGAATAAAACGTTGTATTCTACATTATCCATCAGATAAACCTGCTATCTCAATTTCGCATCAGTGGAATCAATAAAGTACCCGGATGTTACTGACACACGACAGACATGGCCAGTTTGCAATAGATCCTTCCTCTAACAGCTGGAGGGGCCGCTCTGTGTTCATCGATTTCCGTGCATGTCCGTTATTCAGGTGATACAGATGCTTTTTGTATGTAACCCTTAATGAAAACACGCCTTCCGCTGGAAACAGAGGATGCCCACGGTGCTTTTACATAGAGGTTGCACATAGAGCTTATAGATAGTAGTTGCACGTGGTGCTTGTAATTAGTGTTTGCACATGGTGTTTGTAAATAGTGGTTGCATATGGTGCTTGTAAACGGTGGTTGCACATGATAGTGGTAAGTAGAGGATGCACATGGTGCTCGTTAATAGTGGTTGCACATGTTGATTGTAAATAATGGTTGTACATGGTGCTTGTGAATAGAAGTTGCACATGGTGCTTGTACATGGTGCTTCTTATGAATGGATGTTGATGATTGTACATTGTTGTTGCAGGAAGTCGTTATACATAATAACTGTACACGTTGGTTGTGCATGTTGATTGCGCAGATGGTTATACACGGTGGTTATACACAATGGTTGTATATGGCAGCTGTACGTGGCGGGTATAAATAATGGTAACACATGGTGATTGTACATATGGTTGTATACAACGGTCATACATGGTGGTTGTACATAATGGTTGCATATGGTGATTGTACATATGGTTGTACATAGTGGCTCCACATGATCGTTGTAAATAATGGTTGTACATGGCGGTTGTACATGGTGATTGTACATAATGGCTGCACATGTTGATTGTACGTGATTGAACATATTAGTTGCGGTTAGATATAACGCTTGTATACTGTGGTTGTACATGGTCATTGCACATAGTGGTTGTACATGGTCCTTGCACATAGTGGTTGTATATGGTCCTTGCACATAGTGGTTGTATATGGTCCTTGCACATAGTGGTTGTATATGGTCCTTGCACATAGTGGTTGTATATGGTCCTTGCACATAGTGGTTGTACATGGTCCTTGCACATAGTGGTTGTATATGGTCCTTGCACATAGTGGTTGTACATGGTCCTTGCACATAGTGGTTGTACATGGTCCTTGCACATAGTGGTTGCACATGGTCCTTGCACATAGTGGTTGCATATGGTCCTTGCACATAGTGGTTGTTCATAGTCCTTCCACATAGTGGTTGCACATGGTCCTTGCACATAGTGGTTGTACATGGTCCTTGCACATAGTGGTTGTACATGGTCCTTGCACATAGTGGTTGTACATGGTCCTTGCACATAGTGGTTGTACATGGTCCTTGCACATAGTGGTTGTACATGGTCCTTGCACATAGTGGTTGCACATGGTCCTTGCACATAGTGGTTGTACGTAGTAGGTTGTGGGTTGTTGTACGTGGTGATTGTAGATAGTAGTTGTTCATAGTGCTCGTATATGTACCTAATGGCTTTACATGGTACCCAGATGTTACTGACAAACGGCAAACATGAACAGCTTGCTTGCAATAGATCTTCTTCTGGCAGCTGGAAGTGCCGCTCTGTGCTTACCTATTTCCGCACATGTCCATTATGAAAGTCATGCATGTGTACATAATGCTTGGACGGTTGTACCTAATGGTAATTCATATCGTGGTTGTAGGTGGTTGTTGTACAAGCTGGACGTACAGAGTGGTTGTCGGCGGCCGTTCTCCATGGTGGATGTACGTATAGGTTGCGCAACACTTCCTTACACTATATAAACAGGCTTACTGCTCTGCGACAGTATGCACTCTCCCGTACCTTGCCATCAATGATGTGGCATCCAAAATGCCGGCCACTGTTTGTAGTAATCAGATACACGCCCCGCAAATAAACATGTGTGGTTGCATTAATATGTCGACGTGTAAGTGTAACTATGCAGGAAGATATTCCATGATTCAGTTTGAATAGTCAACTGCGTGGCCAAGACGGTGACGTGGACGTCTCGTTGGAACGGCGATTTAACTACAGTTACCGTCGCTCCGCAATTTCCTTCACCATATTCACTCTGGTCTAGAACCTACTCCACTGTGCCTCCCGGTCACACCATCTCCTTCGCCGAAGAGGAACACTTTTTATGGACAGACAACTTCACAACTATTAAAATAAAGAAGTTGTCTATCCATAAAAGTGTTCCTCTTCATCATACCAGCTTCTAAATACCACTTAAAGATGTTATCTCCTCCACCGTCTCTTCCAACATCTGGAACACATCTACTCCAAAGACTCCATCACCATTCCCTCCTCTGTCTCTTCCATTATCACCTCCACAACCCCTCCACCGTCTCCGCAACAACCCCCCACCATCTCCTCCACAACCCTCTCCGTCATCTCCTTCACAACTCCCTCCACCATCTCCTCCACAACCCCCTTCTCCTCCTCCACAACCCCTCCACCATCTACTTCACAACCCTCCACCATCTCCTCCACAACCCCTCCAGCATCTCCTCCACAACCCCACCACCTCTTCCACAACCCCCCACCATCTACTTCACAACCCTCCACCATCTCCTCCACAACCCTCCACCATCTCCTCCACAACCCCACCACAACCCTCCACCATCTACTTCACAACCCTCCACCATCTCCTCCACAACCCCTCCAGCATCTCCTCCACAACCCCACCACCTCCTCCACAACCCTCAACCATCTCCTCCACAACCCTTCCAGCATCTCCTCCACAACCCTCCAGCATCTCTTCCACAACCCCTCCACCATCTCCTCCACAACCCACTCCAGCATCTCCTCCACAACCCCTCCACCGCCTCCTTCACAACCCTCCACCATCTCCTCCACAGCCCCCCACCACCTCCTCGACAACCCCTCAATCATCTCCTCCACTATTCCCTGCACCATCTCCTCCACTATTCTCTGTACCATCTCCTCCACTATACCCTATTGTCCTCCACTATTCCCTGCACCATCTCCTCCACTATTCCCTGCACTGTCTCCTCCATACTCTCCCTCACCACGTCCATTACTCCATCCTCCACACGTCTACTATCTCGATTGTCTCCTTCGCCCTCTTTATATCACTTCACCGTCTCCTCCACTATTTCCAACACTGTCTTCATCATCTCCTCAACCTCCTGCCATGTCTCTTCCAACGTATCCTGTACCATCATCTATATGATCTCCACAGTCTCATCCTCCATCTCATCCACATTTCCCACACCATGTCATCCACCGTTACATCTTCCATCCCCTTCCCCATCTCATCCAGTTTCTCCCCCAATATCTCCTCCACTGTATCTACCATCTCCTCCTCCGTCGCCCCACCCAGCCCATTAGCACCACGTGTCTCCCATTCACTCCGTCCTATGTGTTTCCGGGCCAGCGGACGGTGTATAAGCTGACAGTTGATGTCCTCATAAACTTGCCGTAGAGCCTGACAGTCGGACGGGCACGGTCGCGGCCAGGAGGAACATGGCAATACTCACATATCAAGTCAAGGTCTTTCATATACTTCCACGATCATGACACACAAAGGTAGGTTTTTTGGTCTCCCAGCTGTTGGCGTGTATTTACTATACAGTTTACTAAAAATCCATAGCACTGTTGACATTGGAGTAACTACAGACGAGTGTGTTCGGGGACTCACGTATTGGAAAATAGACCTCAAACCTCACGACTTGTTAGTATAACACTTTCCTATCGTTAATAAATAGGGCTATTTTTTATTATCCAGTAATCTTTTAAAATAACTATTTCATTTTTGATATTATGATTTTTATCAGCTAATTAGAGAAATGCTTGTCCATTGTCTCCGTGTTCTTCAAGCTCATGTGCGTTGAAATCCATGTGCATAGTTCTTCTTTTTACTGTGGGTTGTATCTCAATTGTCAGTAGATACAGACAATTATCCCGTATACAAAGTTCAGTTGTTGACTGACTGACTGTGAACCATGAACCTGATATACCACACAACGTAAAGACAGGTCTGACAGACCTCTAATCGTTTTATTGATGTTTGCTAAAGTTCAAAGGGTTATATATAAGATTCTTTAGAGGCATATAGAAGTTGGTATTTAAGTATAAGACAAAAAATTATGGATGTGAACTTCTTTATTGTATATATTCAAATTCTCGTCACGATATGGCTGAAATACTGCCGATATGACCTTAAATTGAAACCCACTCACTCACTCTGGGCGTATATATGTATATATGCACTCAGCAGAACTGCTAGGTAGTAGTAGGCGCTTAGTAAATTTAGTGGCGACAGGTCGGTTGAGTGAAGCAGTCACGTTGCATGTTGCCGTTTCACACTTTTGTTGCCATGGGGGACTACACTGGCTGTAAAACGCTGATATCAGCCTGAACGTCTTACATTTTACTTTTCGAGAAAAAGCAATGTTCACGTGTTTTGTTTTTTTAAATATGTGGTTCCAATTTTGCCAGTGGCTATCATTCAAACAAGTAGCAAATTGTAAGATGTGCATTACCCAGCAGATAAACAATGGGGTACTGCTAAGTTCAGGTTGAGAATTTCGAACCAACATTAGAGGTATCCTCATGTTATTGGCTTTCGGACGCTTAAACATTCGTAAACAACAGTTGTAAAACATGTCATTACCCCGAAACACAATCCGACAACATAAATGTATTAGTCACTGTCAGACTGATCATAATCATAAGGATCGCTGTTCATTGTTCAAGTGTCCAGTTGTTTTCAGTTTCAGGTTGAAAACTGTTCAATCAGTATTGAAATGTTCAGTTGAATTGTCAATGAACATTGAGACTGGGTTCATTTATAGTTTATTACTTATTCATATTTTTCCAATTCTTATTTATGTTAGCTGTTTGATCAATGTGTGCAAAATGGTTTCCCTTGTTGGCCTCGGGGCAGTGGGGTAGCCTAATGGTTAAAGCGTTCGCTCATCACGCCGAGGACCCGGGTTCGAATCCCCACATGGTACAATGTGTGAAGCCCATTTCTGGTGTCCCCCGCCGTGATGTTGCTGGAATATTGCTAAAAGCGGCGTAAAACCAAACTCAGTCAGTCAGTCAGTCTTGTTGGCCTCACCTGGATTGAAAGTTTCAAAAAAGGAAATGGACTCATGCCAGTAAGTAGTAGTGTATGGTTAAAAAGTCACAGCAATAGTTTTAACTTTGTAGAACACTGGTAGTAGTGACGGGTGGTTGTTGTAGAAGTAGTAGTAGTAGTAGTAGTAGTAGTAGTAGTAGTAGCTGTAGTTGTAGTAGTAGTAGTAGTAGTAGTAGTAGTAGTAGTAGTAGTAGTAGTAGCAGTAGTAGTGGTAATATAGAGTAGTAGTGGTAATAGTAGTAGTTGTAGTAATAATGAGTGAGTGAGTTTAGGTTTACGCCACACTCAGCAATATTCCAGCCTTATGGCGGCGGTCTGTAAATAATCGAGTCTGGACCAGACAATCCAGTGATTAACAGCATGAGCATCGACCTGCGCAATTGGGAACCGATGACAGGTGTCAACCAAGTCAGCGAGCCTGACCACCCGATCCCGTTAGTTGCCTCTTACGACAAGCATGGGTTACTGAAGATCAATATACAAATCCGGACCTTCACGGGTAGTTGTTGTAGAAGAGGTGGTAGTAGTAGTAGTAGTAGTAGTAGTAGTAGTAGTAGTAGTAGTAGTAGTAGCAGCAGCAGCAGAAGAAGAAGAAGAAGAAGCACCATCGATAGTAGTAGTGGCGGTGATGGTGGTTGTGGAAGTAGTAGTAGAAGAAGAAAAAGAGGCAGTGTTTGCTCTAGTCGTTGTAGTAGTCGTCTTTGTCGTAGTTGGAGTTCTCATATGTTAACCACGTTGCCAGCACCATACCCTGTTTATGGGTTTCAAGAAATCTTGAATCATTATCATGACGAATCGAGACTCGTACCCATGATAGCAGGTAGGCGGCAGGGACTTGAGGTGTCAGTGTAAGGTATGGGGCTGCTGCAAGTGTTTGCGGGGACACCAGGTGTTCGGTATGAGGTGTCCCACAAGAGGAAGCCAACGGGGAATGAATGAATCTACAGTGAACACATCGTTTCTCTGTTATATAACTGTGAGTGTTTTGGGGAGGGCAGTATGTGGACGACCACCTGTGTACGCCCTGTCACCTGTCTCTTGACTGACACGGTCACACGGCCCAGTGACAGATGACGAACACGCTCTCTGTTGTTTTCCGCTCTTAATAGATGTACACAGGGCGTTTGGTGTACCTATATATTCATCATTATGTCACACTCAAGTAGGACGTACCATCTGCAGAGCATATGTGAAACGGCCATTGTACTGTGTGTAAAGCCAGATAAATGCTTTCGAGTTAAATTTTAACAAATGTTGAAATCGTTGTTAAACATCTGGAAATTATTGAATTGAAACTGTATACTATACACAGATGGTTAAAGAATTTGATCAAGTTTAATAACACGTTGCATTTGAATAGAATGAAGGGCATATTTCCTATATGTATTGAAGCGTTAAAACTTTGAAATATAATTATTGAAATATATGAATTGTTGCCACGTATATCACATGCACATCTTCTCACAAGCTTCACATCATATATAATCATGAAATATGAAAAGAACTAGATACATCAAACACAGTTCTATTCTCACATAGTGTACATGTATACTTTTTTTTGACAGTGTATGACATTAGAATATCCAGTGACTCTTGTATATAATCTTTGAATGGTATTCAGAAGCGATACTCATCCAGGACAATTGAAATGTGTTAACTTTTGTGTCATGAGGAACTGGACGTTTTTCAATGTATTCATAGTCCTTTCAACAGGTGGTGTATGAGCTAAATGTCTATATATGAAAGCGTAAGAATCACTCCCAGACGTCGTGGTCCACATAAAACAAAGCCTGGCATCCATAAATCTATCCTCCTTCATTCCCCTGTATATCGCTCGCTCCTTGAGAAGTCAGCCATCTTTACTCTCCTAAAACATATCCTTATATGATTGGTCATAGCTGATTTCCAATGATCCAAAATAACTGCTAATTTCTTTTACTCTCTGTTTTTGGAATATGATCGAAACTATTTTATTTTTAATGACGTTTTATATTATAGCTGCTAATATTACGCGTGACTCTGTGTAGACCTTGGAACGTGTAGGTATTGCCTCGAGCGTTCCCATGGCGACAGGAATGCGTCATGTATTTCATGTGTACGGTCGACTGGGTCAGCGAAGCATAATCATCGCTTTTATGGTTTGGGTACACTCAGTTCTCGGGCCCTGTACAAAAGTGCTTTTAGTTTTAGTGACAGTTTGGATCGAATAGTTACACGGGGCCAAACGCCGTGTAGTACACCATTGAAATAGACGTAAATACAGCAGGACATTTATGTTATGGTCGGATTTGCATGCTTTTCCCGATATTTCCTATCTTTGGACACCTTCTTCCATTTGAAACTGCACCTTTGAAAGATAGGCTCATGGTATATTGCTGCATGCACACGCACCTGCATGCTGTGGTCGGATTTGCAGACACTTCCATGCATAAATTCAAACGTTGATATCTCAGTAAATGCTTGATCATAGAGTATTTTCAATGAATTCCTTTCAACCGGAATAGGCGCTGGAATTTCGGAATCTTTTCTATGTTTACTAGAGTGAAAAGTATCAGAATATTCTTAGGTGGATTTTTCATTTTCCAAATGTTATGTGTCATTTCGGATATCAAGGGTACATATTTGAACAGTTTTGTATGTTCATATCACCAGTGCCATTGTGTGAAATACTGGGTTCAAATTGTTTTATTTTCACAAATGCCGAAGGCTTTGACCTCAATAAGCTTCTACCGATAAAAAACTCATTGTTATACAAGCAGGCAGGTTTCTATAAGGTCACAAGATTAATCACTTCCCTTCAACCCGTTGTCAGTTGATTGTAGCCCATAAGTCATACGCCCATTTCTCATACGGCCACAAGTCATACGGAACGGACCGGATTAATAGGGCCCGTAAGTAGGTCACGGCACTTAGCGAGACCTTAGTACTTCCGGTTACAAACAGCGTTTCATACCTATTCGAATGGTCTCATGGTTGTCAGTTGACAGTAAGGAAACGATAATCCTTGCAGGAATAACAAATTTCCTATCTAACCATCCTAAAATTAGCCAACTGTTACGACTGTCAGTGACAGCCAAGCATGTTTGCGCACTTGGTCCGGTCTAGTAAAGTCATATCGCAAGTTGGCGCGCGCAAAGGGAGCCGGGAACCAGCTTTGCACCTGAAGAAGCGCCTCGAGGATTTACTGGCCCTTATCAAAACAACAAGGGTCATGCTCCCTACCATACAATAGACTCGTCCGCTTTTCTTGAGATCCAACTGATCGTCAAACATAGCTTTTTAGACAAATGTGAGTAGGAGAAAAATGTTTAATAGTTAAGCGTTTGCTTCAATGTTGTTACTCACACTGGTGTTCGTAGTTTATATATTATTACTCCCTTCCGGTTTATTGGAGTTTTTATAACCGGCGACAGCATTACAACAAGCACGAGTTTCGCATCTG